ATCAGGCCGCTTACAGTTTGCGCGCCCGATGGTATCCTAGGCAGCAGCTGTCACCTGGTCGCGAATGTGGTGCCACAGGTCGCCCACTGTAGCTATGCAGTCCATATCACACAGGCGTGCAGCCATCGCCTTCTCCAGCTCAGTACGTTTCGCCACAGTACCGAGGGAGAGAATGTTAAATTTACGCCGAATCCCGGCGCCAGTGCAATACATTGATTTACGAAAATATATGTACAGTTTGGTCCGCACCAACTTGTGATCAGTGCCACAATCAGCTCCACGCAGTACACGTGTCAGGAGCACTTCACGCATATCACGCTGACGTACGATGACATAGTCGAGCAGGTGAGTATGACCACTCCATGGGTGCATCCAGGTTGCTATATCATCCGCACTCAGTGCAAACCGAGTGTTCGTGATCGTCAGGCCGTGAGTATCACACAGTAAGAGCAGCCTGTCACCGTTCGCATTCGCTGAACCAATGCAATGCGCACCGATAACATCTGTCCACACCGATGCATCACGCCCAACGTGCGCGTTGAAATCACCCAGCAGAAATAGTCGGTCGCTCCTCGGCACAGACCGTATCACTGAGGATAGCTAAGTGTAGAATTGATCACGCGTGTCATCAGGATAACACATGGTCGGACCGTAGGTGCTTATAAAAGTAGCAAACTTACGTCTTCCGAGTCGTAGGCGAACGGTCATCAGTTGCGCGCTGACGCCTGTTGGTTCACCCACCAGCTGGTCATGGAAGAGATCGGATATTGCAAATCCGACCCCATGTTCACGTGGTGCTGAGGCGGCGTTGCCCACCCAGTAGAATGTGTTGCCAGCACCTGCTTCATGCAACTTACCTTGCTCAGCGAGCCGGGTTTCACTAAACGCCACAATATCGATGTTGTAGCGCACCAGCTCCATTGCGACCAGTGCAGTGCGTCGCTCCGGGCGCTCACTGGATTTGCGGTCCAGTAGTGTGCGCACCTTCTAGCATCCGATGCTGAGTGGTTTACGCGCAGTCATACGATTGCATTGGTGGGCAATCGCATGCGAGGTGGTCGTTGTGCTTCGGAGGTTTGCTTGAGGGACTCCACCCGGAGCCTTTGGCTCAATAGCCTGACCCACAAGGCAGTGGGTTGTTTGGAAGTTTGCTTAAAAGACTCCACCCGGAGCCTTTGGCACAGTAGCTTGACCCACAAGGCAGTGGGGAGCTGATCCAGCTCGGGAATGTGATTGCAGAGACAGATTGGGATCTGCTTGACGGCCGTCACACGCAGCCTTTGAGGTTCTGGAACCTTTTATTTATGTTTTGCGACCGTAGTAGCATACGCACCTGCGACCACGGCCAGACGCAGGTGGGTTTTGGCGGGTTTGTACCAATTTGACCAGGGGCTGCCTGGCTTGAGGCGGGCAGTAGCAAACCATTGAACACCCGGAGGTGTCCTCCCACCGTCAGAGACAATGCGTGGCACTCGTGCTCTACGCCAATCGAGCTGTGAGCTTATAACCCGTAAACCTGTTGTCTCCCACGGCTAGGTTTTACGGGAAGTGGGCCACGGACCACTTCCTAACCTCTTAAGAGGATAGACTAGGATACTGCCAGGGCGCCCAATCCTGACAGGAGAACGACTCGGGTCCTCAGTCAAAGCCTTCGATTAAATGAACACCCGAAAGGCAGCGGGTCTAGCACATGGTCAGTTCACTGACTCATGCGGATTGGTGTCCTGGATCTTAGCAGGGAGAAGGGCGAAACCCAAGTTCCACCCAGCGGTCGCCACGAGGAGGCGCCCAGGACATGAGCAAATGGCCCAACAGTAGCAGCAATGGGTAGACCATCTATCAGGATCTAGCCACCACCAGCCTCAGCGCACCATATAAATATGTATATACACATATTTGCCTACTCACGGTCTGTCATCAATGTGTATCATCCTTATTCCATTGCTAATGTAAGTATAGCTTGGGTACAATTGCTATGTGGAAAGATGAAGTACGGACTTGGTGTAAAGCAGTGGCATTATTGCATCTGTCTAAGAGGCACCTACTAGAAGTTGTCTTAGACGGGATCAATCTTCTGCGTAGATTAAGAAAAAGGTAATGCCAACGGAAATGGTACGTAAGTGTCTTAGTAAATTACATCGGAAAGGAATCGGCGTATAGGGAAAATTTTTCACTTGACGAGCACCGAATAGCTGCACCCCAGGCGTACTAAATTAGATCGTAACCAAGTAGTTTATAGCAACAACAGGATGCACAACGGTATGTAAAAACGGATGAGTACTTGGATGACAACCATGCTACATCTTGGATATTTGCAACACAGCGCGAACATTGTTTGGAAAACCGCAAGTTTGACAGTAGTCAGTGGGACTTAGTTGATGTAGTACTATGGTAGTTGTCGTGCCAAATACGCCGTAAGAGGCGAACACCAACAATACGTATTGGGTACTTATTCTCATGCTTGTGTAAGTAACTCTTAGCCTGACCTCCAAATGAAACCCATACATGTTTGTTCATACAAGCTTGTTCATGCGGACCAATGTGTCTCTGTCCAGTTTGTGACAGTTAATAATGAAGTCCGTGGAAACACATGTGCATATGTTGTATTCGAACTGCCATTGGACACAGATGACGCCAATCTATGTATATATGTATACCGAATGAATTCCACGAGGATACTCATACCGCTTTTGTACGGTTCAGTTAGTGCAGGGAAATGGCAATCGAGCAAACCGGAAATAACGTTACCAGAACATGCAGAAAGTGAGTTAATGCCAAACTCATGTTGATTTCAGGTTTTGCGAATGCAAGACAAATTTGATCGATGCGAATTCCGTGGACTGCTCAAAAGGGCGGTCTCTCAGGTGTCGGAGAAGGCACTGTTGTTTGCGGAATAAATGCATCATGAGTATGATCCCATTCAATTTACTAATCCAGGCCAATAAGGCGGCGTATGTGGTACGTTTGCCTGCGTGATGAATGATCTTGCATTTCAGAAGTAGATGTTGCTTGAGCTCCTCGGTGTGGATGCGTCTGATGTGAATGTTGACAAGGTGCCTACCTGTCTATTACCCACTACCTCTTCCATACTGTCTCCAGGAGACAGTTGGTCGTCGCTGGAGGGGACGGAGTGCACCGTCCTCGTGACGGTTCTAGGCTCAAAGAGTGGTTCCATGCAACCTGTGTGGAACGGGCTACGGTCCAGCCACCGCCTCGTGTACTTCTGGTGTGTATGATTTCCAAATTAGGCCGGAATGCTTCCGTTCTGCTTGTTGAAGGGGTGTGGGCCGGCTCCGTTGATGAAACGTGGCTCCCATCCACATGCCTCCCGGTCTTATTCCTTCGGGTGTACACTGGATATGGGGTGTGTGGTTGGCGCTGTGGGTGGCGCAGCGCAAGCCACCCATGGTCCCTCTGTAGGCGCAGGCGTCCTGTGACTGTCCCCATGGACGTCACAGTGACAGGCAAATCCGGATACGGACGCCGCCAAATCATTTATATATATATATATATATATATATATATATATATATATATATATATATATATATACATGTATATATACATATCGAGTCATTAAAATCCACAGAATTTGGAACAGAGTAAAACAGAACGTAGAAAACATGTAGAAGAATTTGTTACTCAATAAAAATGAAGGATAAATATTTTTTGTGGTTTTACGCACGCCAGTTTCTGTGATATCACTGCTCTTAATGCGAAGTAACGAAGCTTATATGGGATTTACTTTTTGGTCTCTATACCTCCAATGGATTCCAATGATCTTTGATATGCAATTACCAACATCTATAATAAGCCATAGCTGCTTTGACTGCCTGAATTCGGTGCCGTCGACCAACGTCATAGCGTATCATCATGTCCTGAATAGTATCAACAGTGTTTGCCCCCAATTCTAGGAACTCAGTCCTAAGATTAAATCGAAAAGCCATCATCGAATGTAATTAAGGCAATAAAGCAGGTTGAAATACCATGGTACCTTACACTTCACCCTAGTGTGTCAGACGTGGAAGCGCCGATCGCTCGGATGCGGCTTATGCTCCAAATCTAGCATTATTAAAAAATCGCCAAAACAAACCGTTTAAACATGCGTATCTATCAAATAACTTTGTTAGTATTGAGGCTGCATACGGCAAGGAAACAAGTATTCTAAACTACCAATCAGGTAGATATATTTGTTTTCTATGTGGTTACCATAATGTACGCAAATTCACTGACTCGCATTGCCCTGCTTTTTGTGCCTGTAGTACACACATTCTCTGGAACTTATTAAACATTAGCTGTATTATACGTGATTTATCATAGTTTCATTGCCCCACTGTTCACTGCACGTTTGTCTGTCGAAACGCAGTCGCTGAAACAGTCACGATGTGAACCAATTTATATCTTGCTAAACCACCATTATACTTAAAAGCACTTTACATATACTCTGGTATAACCACTCCGCTTAGCGGTTGTCCATGCCTATGCACTGGTCCCTCTGTTTCCATGGGTAATTAGCTTACGGATAGTTACTTCAAACCATGTTGATTAATTGATCTCAGCTCACTGCTGCTTTTCCACCAGGCTCATTTTTACACAATGCAATTATGACTTTATACTTATTGCTTACCATAGCCATGTGCTTAGGATCGCAACATTATTTTAGATATTTTCACTGGGGGTACTTTACAATGGCTAGAAGAATGCGGAGCTGCTTTGTAAATAAATATTCATGGGGGGCTAAAACCAATTGAATTTTGCACATAAAATCAAGCATTTAAATCACTTGGAGTTGCTTTTAATGAATTTAGAATGTTGGAGTTTGGGAATGAATATAGACGACTAACGGCTACAATGATATATCAAACTGATTCTTGTGATTTGTAATGTACGTTGTTAATCATTCAAGTACGCGTCGCATGTGTAAAAGGTGGGCCACTGCAGTTCGGCGTATGGGAGGTTGTGAGCAATCCAAGAGACCATCACAGCATGCGATGGTGATGTTAAAGAAACCGGGACGATGATGTGTGTCCTGGTACTTCACGAATAGATTCACCTGGAATGCAGTAAATTAAGGTGTTAGTGCATATATTTGGTACCAGGTCTCTGCGTTTGGAAAAACAAAACATTTAACAGCATTTCATCAAGGCACTATTTCACATGCATTCGGCCCTGTCCCATCTTCAATGAAGGCGGAAGATTTGCTGGAGTTCTAGGGGGGGGGGCAACAACTTGCAGATTTGCCAAATGCGCCCAGGTTCCAGCAACATGTTTCACTGTTATCAATGTCGGCCCAGCATTTGAAACTTTCGGCGCTAGTTTAATTTGCAAGATCATCTGTAAGTTACGTGTTATTACCTGAATGTTAACTATCAGATTAAACAGACTTTCCTCGCTTCCGAACACAGACAGACAGCCGTCACGTGCCCGGAAAAGCAATCTGCGCCTGTTTTATCCTTATAGGAATAGTCAAGAGTTCGCTTGCCAACCGACCCAGTAAGACTGGAACTCGCGAATACACTGTTACCAGTGTGTGATGATGAAACAAGAAACATATTCATTTATGAACATCCAGTTCTCTTACTCTGTTGCCATTCAAATTATCTGTCATTCTGTGCATTAGTGAAATGCATGGCGCTGTAGTTAAACGGAGTACGAAAGCAAACCACGTGACCATAGGGAAAGATTAAAAATAGGCGTTCAATGAAATGTTCAAGTAACTCAAATGAACTTTTACGAATGAGCTAACGTGGTACTTGAATGCATTAATTTTTTCAAATTTCTCCGTTAGATGATAAAGTTTTTGATGGAATAGTAACTTGTGCGTTCGCCAATCCACGCATCATGACGATAACCGCTGGCATTAGATCATCAAAATTATATCACCAGACTGCTTAAACTTAAAATAAACCTGGTCATGTGCTAATTGCGTTGCCATGGGGTATTCAGTCAATTACTAATCGCCAAACATATATTTACTGACTGTTTGCATCCATGAACAAACATTTGACTGATTTCCTGCGACATACTTTTATTCAAATGACCATATCCGTTGAATTTGCAATTTGAACCGCGGCTGTTCAAGTAGTGCACAAATTTACTGTGTTCGTTCATATGCCATGGAATATTGGCCAGATAGATGGGCTCCTCTAGACGCATGCGAAATGTCCGTTGACCTTTGTTAGCCGAGATCCTGTTTTCCTTCTGAATTTCCTCGCAACTGTGAGCACCGTATTGTGTGTGGTTCTTCGCCTATTGATGGTAGTTATAACGTATATAACGGCTTGAGCAAAATAGTCACAATATTTGTATGCCAATATTCCTTAGTAGGTTTGACGTGGGACAAGTCTGAGGTCACATCCTAATCTTTTTATACCAATAAAATTTGTTGAAAATGTAAACATTAATGGGTTCTTGACCTGGCAATCTCTTGTAAGTGTGGGATTTCAAGGTGACAAATGGTAATAATCTAGTTGTGGACGTTTTGCTGTTGGCGTCGTTTGCATTTAATTTATTATGAATAAAAAGCTTTGCAATTGTGTTAAAAGTTACAAATATCGCGGTGTTACCTCTTGGCACACATCCACGTTTGAAGGGCCAGAGACCAGCGCGGCTGTAGATATGATGTGGAAAATTTATTTGATTAGTTCATATTGTGAGTCGTGAAATAGTATTTATTAAGCGAATGACGGAATTAAGTGCTCGCAGCACAAGTTAGAAGAGAAGTAGGGTATTTTAATTTTCAAAACTGTGGCACTCCGTATGTCAGACAATGAAGTTTTATTGTTAGTTGTGTATTGGATTCCCTAAGCAGAAATTGAGCTTTCGAAGAAAACTACCTACTCCCAACGGCTAAATATATTCGGATGGTAGTCATTTATTAAGCACAAAATATATCATATGTCACGATATTTTGTACTCAGAGGGAAGAGGCTGATTTATTTGAAGAGGCTAGCAGCTAGACCATCCCAAACCAAAGGTGCAGATGATTGGGCGCCTACATGTCTCCGGGTCTACCCTGCTTGCTTGATATTTGACTGCAACAGAGTGGGGTTGTTCGACCGAATTAAAGATTGCGTGAAGCAAATTGTCAATACTATCGTCACAAATGCGACCACCGAGCTAACAAATTTTTGTTGTAAAGTTGTACATAGATTTTATGTATATATTTGCGCCAATGTCAATGTTACCATGCAGGTCTCTGTTTGCTACAAATAGCTACACCTACATGCGCCGTGGTTTGTTTTCGATCGGCTGAACCACCGTTATGAGAATGAAACATCAGGATAGTGCCAGTGAGTAATGCATGATCCAAATTCCGTCAGTTTACAACTTTGTTTCTTCCTTGATTTAACTTGATTAGATGAATATGACCCTATCGGTTTACAGCCAAATCAGCGCATTTGTTCACAGTGTCCAAAAACTTCCGTTTCCATGTTTACTGTGAAATACTGCATCCATCCTTATGAGAGGGTTTTAATTCACCGTTTTGTATTGATTTCGTATGAAAGAAAATTCCCTTGACAATTCAGCCAATACCACTTGTATTTAGGTACCCATGAGAGGTGGGATGTTTCAGTCACAGGTGACTGTAAGGCGTAATATGGCTTGCCTGCGTCTAGACCAGTTTTGCACTGGGAAAATGCTTTATGAGGTGTAACTTATTTACATGTCCAGTAGGTTAGTAGTATAAGGGATTACAACTCCTACACTACGTAACGCGAACAAATAAAATACACATCGGTGAGCCGATGGAATAACGGCATTTCAAAGGTGGTTTATAGGGGTATGACAGAGCGATAAAAAACTGAATAACTGGTCATTACGGCCAATGTTTAAAATAAATGACAGGTAAAATGCCTACTTCTCTGCATAGATTTATGTGTGACAGTGTGGATTTTAACTCCAAACTGGTCTGTTGGCCCGAATATATTCAGAATATCCGTTCAATTGTACTCAGTATAGTTATTTTTGGAAATAAGACTACGGCTACGGATTGTGTAACCTTTTACACAAATAGAACACCCACGGACTCTATAGATCAAGGTTCTTTCATCTCCGAACTGATAGATGGAACCTAATATAAATCGATGTATGCCCCGTTATGAGATATTCTTCTGCAATATTCTGAGACGGGAATAAATCACCCTAATTCATAACGCGTGGCGTTTAAAGTAAATGGATGGCCGGTATCTGCGCTTAACTGTATCAGTTCCCTTCCGGCACAAAGGAATAGTAGAGACGACCGCAAGCAATCTGCAATATTTGATATCTACTCACAGTAGTATCCTTCATGTGGCACTGAAAAAAGTAGAGAACATTCCACAGCATTAGGTCTGTATGATATACAAATTAATTAGCTAATGATTTTATGAGTAAATAAATTTGTGACAATGTAGATTATCACAACGTTCGCTAACCATCGTTGTCGCTTGCAGATTAATCCTCAACTGAAACATACATTTGGATTTATCTCAACGTTGTGACGAACCATAAGATAATCTGAACCAACTACTGTATTGTGAACTGCAATCGCAGCATTCAGGGAGGTAACACGAGTACCATTAAAAGTAGGCACCTACAGGGAGTATGAACAGGGAGCTCCAGTGATGTTCTTCTCCAAATTTTCTACCATTGTTAACTACACGACGAAACATCTTAAGCCCAAGTGTATCCGGCATCAATGGAAAACAATGTAGTACAAGCAATTGCTCTCAAAACCCAGAAGGAAATCTCAATTTTGCCGCAGTACGATAATACCAAGACTTGAAGAATTTGATGAAGTATATCCTTAAAACTTTGCCACAAGGTCTACAAATGCTGTCGCGTCTAATTAGACATCTGACTTCACAAGAAAGCGAGCAAATACACATGGGCTTTTATGCATTATCTTGGGTATCTTCTGCTTGCCAACCTTGCTCAAATGCGTCCTTGGTTTTGCCATACCAGATGATGGGACACCATGTATTCACCCGATTCCAAAACCAATTGAACAGAAACGCTGCTTCTCTGTTCTCCGCGGGACCAAGCTGTTGACCACAATGTCGGGCCTCGAATTTCACATGAAGGAGCTGAGGACCCGTGTAGCCAGGAAATATTACCAACTCACAGGATTTAGGCAAACACGGTGAGCGGTCACGGATCTGGAAAGGTTGAAGATAACGTTCGAGTTAGCTCACACTTGTAGTGAAGTCGCACACCAAGACAAGTCATTTTACACATAACACCAATACATCGCCATTGTGACGATTAAATGGCGCTCGAATCCTACCTATTTTTTATTGCATCGGAAGGCAACCTTTGGCCATTCGAGCCGTTCGCAGATGCTCATCCAGTCTTAATTGATATCGCGATCTTGATCAAATATTTTATAAGGGTGATAGCTGATGATCCCGATATAGCGCCTGTGTGAACAAGGCTGAGTCAGCATATAAATTCAGCTTTGTGTATGGTACAATATAAACGGTGTAGCGCATTTGAGAAACATCATCGTTGCTTACCACTTGCAGATGGGCCACATCTTAATAACTTTTAAATGAAAAGCGAGTACATGACATAATCTCATAAAGCCGTACTGTATTCAGAGAGGTAGTTATGTCACACTTAACGATCACTGCGAACTACTGGATCCAAGACTTACCGTACTACAGTTAATTGTGTCCGCTTGATTTTCGTTGAGCACTATTGCGAAATCTAGTGAATGGCAAGATGCACACACGTCAAATTATGCGCAATTAAAAAATATAAGCTTACTGTGCTCTAAGTATAATGATTTTTGTGACGTCAAAAGCATGCGTGTGGTCATGTTTACCGACAGCAACTCAGGTTAGACACATTTAATATTCTTAGAGGATGGAGGTGGATAAGTTCAGTCAGCGGACATTTTGCCCTGGATATCCCATATAAGATTGTGATTCAACGAAAAAGAAAACGGAATACGCATATGGTTTATTTTCTAACTTTTATTTGCTTTTCTTTTAAGCTCGGAGCATTGTAAACGAATGATGCACCTTAGGAAGTGTAGACATATTGCACAGTCTTGATAATTGTACAACACTAAATTTTGCGTGATTTGCAATTCATCGTATGACATGTGTCTTAATCATTTTATTCCGAATTTATTACTATGAATAAATGACATTTCAAACTAGCGATCCGGTTTCTTAACAATAAGCATTGAACAATGAACATTGATTTATCATGGGGGAAAACAGATGCTTGACTAGTCCCGCAGGATAATAGGTGTAAATCTACAGAACCAAAACCAGTGTGTTGTGAGTTTTAGCGCCTTCTGAGTACATGCTCTACTGAAAAAGAGGAGATTTAAATGAGGCTTGAATGCAACCAAGAAGGCTAATTGTAGTCGTTATAGATGATATAATCATGTACTGATTAACAACACAATACTCACCACTGTACCACATTCCTATATCTATGTATCACAAATGCTTTTCGAAAGTAACATTAATATATTCCAAATTAACACATGACGAGAAACAAAGTGAAAAAGGCGAAAAGCAACATCAAATAAATCTTTGAAAATAGCCAATTTGTAGAAGTCAACAACTGAGTTGAGCGGAGAGATTCAGTTGGCAAATCCGAAGAGCAAATTTATTCCGTTGAAAGTTTAGATGATTTTATGGTTCACTCTGTTGCAAACAGTTATCTTTGAGATTGTTGCTATGGCTGAACTTTAACCAGTGACGGCACAAGCGTTTAGGACCAGACAACTTTTAGTGCATATGTTAGCGTCCACTGAAAACTCTCAGTGACGCGAGCTTTCGCCGGTGCAACAGATATTTGGAGATTCGACGTTTTTCTATAGCCTTGTGTCATATTTACCACCTCCAGGTTGCGCATAAACCAAGATTGTTGAGCCTAGATTGCCTATTCAAAGTGAGAGCGAACGTAACCATAGCGCATCAACTGGAAGATTGATAAATCAAAATGTCGGAATGCCGTACACTGCAGGCCGACGTGCTGGTTGTCACTTTTCCAGGCTGCGTCGGCCAGTTTTGTACAGTTATGATCATAGGGAAGAATTACACCGCGGTCGCGTTCCGGGGAATTTTTTGCAAAATTTGTAGCTTAAGCCAATAAACATTTTCATGAAATTGAAAGAGGCGACTATTTTCCCCATTAACTGGTAGGGAATTTTGACTTGACTAAGTATTAATTGTCTTAAAGTCAGGTTGGATTTCTTCGTGCTCACCAGATTCCCTCATTGCTTGCCAAATATTGATATCAACAGCGAAGAATAAAAAAACCCGAAGTGTTTTCCCTCGCCAGATCCTTTGTGAAAACCAAGCAAACGCGAGGCCCTAGCACTAAGCCTTAAGATATACTGCACTCCAATTCAGTTGTGTCAAGCAGAGATTTTCGTACTTTCACCTCCAACCGAGATTCGTGCAGGAACGCTTATCTAACACAGGAGTGGGTCATCAATGGAGGAGAACTCATTGTGTTAAACGATCAAACGCTTTTGAAAAGTCTAGGTAGATGAAATCAACTTCTGCTCCAACACAAAATAAGTCAATCCAGTTAATTTATACAATCAACGGGTGCACAGAGAATGAGCGGCTTGGTTAAAAGCCACGTTGCTTCGGGAATATAATGCCGGGTTTAACTGCATCAACTACAGTAGGCTAAACAATTTTGGAAATCAATAGAAGCAGTGTACTTGGGCGGTATTTTTTGGTTCAGTGGGGTTACCTCACTTATTATTGGAAGTAAAGACAACAGGCTTCATAGTTGCTAAATTCGGGTTCTCCTCTAAAACGCTTTGATAAGAGTAGCCAGAGATTCCTTGAGTTCATCAGTTGCTATCTCTAGAGCCTTCAGTCGACTACAGGCTAGTTGTAAAAACGCAGATACGACAGTTTCTTTAACACAGCTTCTGCAATAATAGTGCTTTTGGATACAGATTATGGTGGGACAATAAAAACAGGGATACTCTGTATAACATGTGCGAGTAATGGAACCGTAAGAAATCCACTACTTCCTTTTGATTATCTCATGAACCCGACAGGCATGACCGGAGCGGGAATTCCGCACTGAACATTACGAAGGCCATTAACATGCGGTTTGCGCAGAACAGCTTCATTAACTCCTACTGATACATCATCTTGTCTTCTCGGATCAGTAGCAGTCAGAAGTTATGCTGTGTTACCTAATCTGTTAGTGTTTCTGATGTTGGGGAGCATTGGGAGCTCTTCATGCTAAGTCCCAAAACTCATACATATACATGCACAGCCCTTCGGAAAGGACGACGGAAATATTTCTGTTTCGACGCGTGCGCTATCAGCGTGTTACTACATTTGTGACACTTTCCTTGTCGACGTTTATGGTATTCCGGTAAGAGGTCCCAACTGCCTACTAAACAAGTGCGTAGAACACGACCTAATGCCTGATGGTATAAGTTTATTATCTTCCTTTTAAAGATAATCAGTGTAAAACGCCCATTTAAAAACTAGAGCAATCTCACCAATAATAACAATAATAGTAATAATAATAATGGTTAGGTTTTTCCTTAAGCGAGAAGATTTGTCTATATTAGTTACAGAGCAAATATAAGTGTAGCTATACCATATTTTTCCATGGGCAATATGAAGTTGTGGCGACTAAAAATAACGCTTTCTTCCTTCTATGTGAGAAGTACAGTTCAACTGCATATTACGATTCTTGACGTAGGGCCGAACCACAATGAACAGATGTTATAATTTTCGAATTTTCAAAATACTTCCTCAAACATTTTGGCGAACATGGTTAATTGTTCAGGTAACTCATTCGAGGGCTTGTGCGGTTTTAAAATAAAATAAGTGTAGCTAAAAGCAACATACAAGTAAAGTAATACGGTCATTACTGGGACCGCTTCCTGGGGACCTTCTTCCATGCAGGTTATCCTCTCGATGGATTTCACTCACACTTCCATACCCCATCTGGCCGCTTGCCAGTGTGGCTTTTAATGCAGATAAGCCATCACTTATATTACTCACCATTAGAATTGTTTTTCTGTGTATATAAGATGGACAGTAAAGCCAACTACCCCTTACCACCATTTGGTTTTTTTAGTAAAGTACTATTGTATCGCCTGCGAACCGATGGCAAGGCACCTTTCATGGGTATAATTATTAGTGTTGGAAGCTTAATTCCATCACCTCAGGAGATCGACCCAGTCCCCGTCAGGAGTGAAAAGAGGATGCTAATAGAATATTTGCGCAAGGAAGACTGATCGACCAAATTGTACGTGGGAGTTGTCAAAAACGGTGGTGAGCACATTATCAGGTAATGATAGCTTGTTATTAGTTCTAGATCTTGTAGCAAACATCATGCGATTGTACAGAGTGTAGTTAAAATTTAGCTCATAAAAAGAACTTGACCTACATGCTATCGGTAGCGGCTATTTCTAAGTTGTGCACATTAAAGTCTCCTGCAATTAGAATGTGACTCTGGGACTTGTTCCAGGCAACCTGAACGGCGTGATACATCTTGTATTCCAATTCGTAGGTATAATTGGAATACCGTACATTGTGCCTATAAGACATTTTATTCGACAACCATGGTCAACACCAAAGCAAATCAAGGGCATTGCTTTCCGGGTGATCATATACTCACATTGGTAGTTAGGTTTGTAATGTTGAATTCAGCCGTTGCCGTTACTGCATTATCGTTCCGAAGAAGCAAACCTAACGAAATTAACAGCAGAATAAGCTATCCTCAGGCTTAAACAGGTCTCCGTATTCATCATCAGATTATATGATTGCGACGTCTGGTGTGCTTTATTTCAGAAAAATTACTAAGAAGGCCTTGAGGGTTAGCATAAAACAGGCTAGTTTTTTGGATGTTACTAATGTCTTTTAAAGCAGTTACTTCCCCACAAGTATCTGAAAAACACGAAAAGAAGACGAAGGCTGGTAGACGCATGCATTTCTTATTATCTCCTCAGGACCATTAACAATAACCGATCTGCTGAGATATAGCAAACAATGGATGCAACCAGACAAGCTTGAGATGCAGAAGGAATGACGGAAATTCACACCTACGTCCAAGACAGCTTTAGGCTGACAAATAATTGTTTCTGAACACATAAGGCTGGCTTGATCCGGCTTATAGCGACAGCCTCAGCAAACCGAAGGAAGCAGGAATTAGTGTGACGTAAGCGTTGAGCCCAGCTCTATCCAGTGATCGTAGTCCGATAGGCATTTGCCTATCGAGGAAGCCGGCGGTCTGTGCGAACATGGAATATCAGGGGTTAGACAACCTGAGCACATTCAACATGAACCCATCTTGGTACATGTTCCTTTATTCGGGAAGTCAGCGTTCTAGTAGTTCTGCCCACATAACGGTTTCAGCGGTCACGTACAAATTGGTATACACAGTGTGAGTTGGCCGCAATAGGCAGAGATTCCTACTTTGGAGGCAAGGGTTAATTTGGGGTTCGGTTAATGACGAGAAATTGTGCAGCATAGTAACTGCCTTGTGTAGCCGAAATTATACACATAGATGTCTTCTGCGCAGCTAAATCACTTTGAACGTAACTCGATAAACACGAACTTGTCAGTAGATGTAAAATGTGTGTTTATTTCAAAGCTAACCGTTCACGGCTTGTCCCAGAATCATTTTAGATGGAACCTTGATACTACAATTTCGGTCAGCCTGTATGTAGATAAAGATCGAAATGCTCTCTGCCCTATTAGGCAAGGTATGTTATACTATGTAGCTCACCCTGCAGGACTTTGAATGCAATGGTTTTTCTAAAATTGATTGTTATAAAAAGTGTTTCTCAATTCTGGCCCGTTGCCAACTGTTTCTGACCAATTATCGATAAGGAATTTGGACTGATACTCCAACCAGCTATGCAAAAGGAGTTCTGCCTTTCCATCAGATTTAAGCAAAACAAACTATAATTTTGTACCTCAACACTTGTAGTTTTTTGGTAAAGGAAAACCCGCCATTGATTTAGCAATAACGTCGTTCGGAGAGAGGTTTCCGCTTACGTTGCACCGCTGCTGTCATTCATAAGCTAGCGCATCGGCATTCGGGAATCCGGTAGGTCAGAAACATCGTCAACAAATATGGCTCTTGCATCTTTGGGTGGAAGAGACGTAATTGTTGTCGAATTAATTTGAGCGCAATTCCAGGAAATAACTGGTGGCACCAGCACCCCGCTAATGTATTTGCGAAGAAGAATTGGTGTGGACAAAACGGCCGTTGTCTCCCACACTGAGTACGAGGGAACTCAAAAGTATCGAGAATCGCCATAAGATATTCAAGTATGGTGACGGGCTAAACGTATCAGCACATTAAGCTCAAAACAAATTTACATAACATCGCACAATGTTTGCGATCAGACAGCAACTGGTCATTTATCAGACCCTTGGGTTCCGTGGCCATTGTCTGCTTGCACTTGTGAGCGAGTCTGTCGTAAGTTTTGATTGTGCAGTCCCACGTTCCACCGGACTCAATCGATTGAGTTGCCAGTCGTACGTCGTTTGTGTTGCGTATACTGTGTCCAGTTCGATATGTCGATTGATTGAATTCGTTGTAGATTACCAGGCTTCCAAAAGCTCCCTCCCGTTTATTGTACTTCCGTGTGCTAGGATCATTAAATTCTCCAGATCAAAATGATGGTCTTCTTGACCTTCAGGTGGGAAAACTAATGAGTGCGGATCACGTCTTTTTACGGCCGCCTTTTGTTCGGTGATTCGTGAAAAATCCTTCTTTCACTTGGTCCGAGGTAGTTTTTATTGAAGTCGCAGCATTTTATCCGGTTGCTGAAGTTGCATTGGTCGACTTCATTTGCTTTTCTTTGAGTCTTGAGATCAGTTTTCCTTAGGGTGGCACTTGGTTTGTGTGCTACAGCGATTCCATGTGACTGCAGCGATCTTCCTGTTAGTTTGGAGACGTACTTTATCTAGGGAGGCACTATCCGTTTGTTTGCTTGTGCAGGTGACTGCTGCAGGTGCTGCTGATACATTCGTTTTCTTATGCTTCTTCTGATGAAATTTCTCAGATAACCGTTGTTTCTAAACACTCGACATAGGTGATTTTCTTTCTGTCTCCGCGCTTCGGCTGTGCTGTAGGGGACAAATCTCGCATGCCAGTGATAATGGATAAACCGGGTATTGTAACCAGACCAGACAACGGCTATCCGACAAAAGTAGGTGCCGCCAGATGGTCCATGATGCAAATTCGAAACTGGTCAACCAGATCAACGCAAAGCAGAAGTCGCTACAAACATAGAACGAGCTCACCGCCACGGGAGACATAGAATGAAGGCTGGCGATACAAAAGTCGTATTGTTCTACGGGCTACTAAAAGTACAAAAGTATAGGGTCCCACTAGAACAAATCGTCTAGCTCCCTTCAACCGCATCACATAAACTAGCGAAGTATTTGTGGAGGAGGCTCAACCACTTGATTGATTATCTGAACAAAACATCATATTGTTGAAGAATCCCTCAACAATCTGTGGAGTGTCAGAATAGAAGACGATGAAATAATGCTTTCATTCAATGTCACCGCACTGTTTACTTCATTCCGTCACCAGCTGGCAAAATAAACGTTGATGGAGCTACTTGAGAATCAACTAAGCCGAAAGACAACCATACAACCTAAAAGATTTTGGGAATTCCTGAACCGCTGCATGACCACTTATTTCCGCTTTGATGGAAACTTTACCAGCAACAGAGAGGAATTACAATGGGATCCCCAATTTCAGCGTTCATTGCAGAAGCCGTGTTGCAGATGTTGGAGCGCATTGCAATGCCATCTATCAGCCCAATACTCTGGATGCGATACGTGGAAGACACCTTTGTCTTTGTAAAACTGAACAGAGTAAAGGCCATGCAAGATTTGCTCAACAGCGCATAAGAAGACTGCGCATTTACGATTGAATTATAGGATGATAATATGTTACCATACTTGGATTTACTGGTCACTAGGAATACAGACGGATACCTGCAAAAGTGGGTATATCGGAAGAAAAGATATACGGATTGATATTAATATACCACATCAACCAGATGATAAAGCAAAAAAGAGCTGATTTCAAACCCTGTTCAACAGAGAGGGAAAGCAATGCAGCACAGCCGAAGAGCGCAGACAGAAAGAAAATCACCTATGTCGAGTGTTTAGAAACAACGGTTATTTGAGAAAATTCATCAGAAGAAGCATAAGAAAACGAATGGATCAGCAGCACCTGCAGCAGTCACCTGCACAAGCAAACAAACGGATAGTGCCTCCCTAGATAAAGTACGTCTCCAAACTAACAGGAAGATCGCTGCAGTCACATGGAATCGCTGTAGCACACAAACCAAGTGCCACCCTAAGGAAAACTGATCTCAAGACTCAAAGAAAAGCAAATGAAGTCGACCAATGCAACTTCAGCAACCGGATAAAATGCTGCGACTTCAATAAAAACTACCTCGGACCAAGTGAAAGAAGGATTTTTCACGAATCACCGAACAAAAGGCGGCCGTAAAAAGACGTGATCCGCACTCATTAGTTTTCCCACCTGAAGGTCAAGAAGACCATCATTTTGATCTGGAGAATTTAATGATCCTAGCACACGGAAGTACAATAAACGGGAGGGAGCTTTTGGAAGCCTGGTAATCTACAACGAATTCAATCAATCGACATATCGAACTGGACACAGTATACGCAACACAAATGACGTACGACTGGCAACTCAATCGATTGAGTCCGGTGGAACGTGGGACTGCACAAGCAAAACTTACGACAGACTCACTCACAATAGCAAGCATACAATGTCCACGAGAATCAGGAAGTCAAGTTGAAACTTCATTTGTCCATTAACCAACCTGCAGGCGCATCTAAATCGCAAATAATATGATTGCTGTCCTCAACGCACGCACAGAACGCTCAGCGGACTCGCCGACTGTGCTTTACGCTTCTCTACGCTACTGTATGCCAATTAACTATGCACTGAGGATGTCAAGTCAATATTTGACAAATCTTTTGCAAGAAAAGTGCCAAACCCGGCGAATTTTTCATACGCCTTCTTAACAAGCCTACCTAATCTTCTCCAATTCTTTGTTACTACGTCCTTAAAAGAGTACCTGCGTTAAGTCTTTCTTGGATCATCAGTTTGCGGGGAAGGTACTTTTGGAGCATACAGAATTGATAACAAAAGCAACGGTAGAGATCATCTGGATATATGCACGAAGTGTGCTTAAACAAGTTAGGTTATCCTAAATAATATATGAGTAAATATTGCCTAATAATTGCGGTAAGTTAATCCGTCGCGAATGGGTGTACGATGACCCCAATTGGTGAAGATGTTTTTGCGTCCTCTCTGACAGATTAGAGCAAACTGACTGTGCAACCATGACTTTGATATCTGGAAACATTTTAAGCATAATTTTTATACATATTTGGTAAATTGTGCATACGGAACAAGTGTTGTGCACTTCACATTGGGTATAACGTACAGATACTAGCCCATCACGTTCGGTATAAAATGGTTGCGTCATGCGCATTGCTTTAATTGACTAAACAAATATACGCGATATTGCAAAACTTTGTAAGAAAATTATCATTACTATTGAACCTTTATCTTACTCCAGATTTTTGCTTTGGAATCATAAATGGGTACACTGATCGGTGTGCAATTGCTTCGCCCGATTTCCAGCATACGTTGTATCCCAAGCAGGTGTAGTATTGCCGTCTCGGTTACAGGACGATCATTGATGTCAGGCATTTGCATCTTTACCTCAAATCGGTGGTGGAACATTTGTGCAGTTTCGAAATGGGTCGCTTCGTGTTGACAGTCAATTGGTTTTAACAACGGGGATACCTTTCGTATGTTGCTAATTATCTGTTCGTAGAAAATATTTAGCAGAGATATCAGTTAAAAAAATTTATATGATTGTCCAGCACTCCCTACTAAATTCCTACTTCCATGCAAGGTAACTGTAGTCCGTTTGCAGGCGACACAACATGTGGCCAATTGACCTTGGCCCTCAGTGACGGTATATCAAACATTTCGCCTGCATAAAATGTCGGTGGAAGTTACAACTCAGTAGATCCGATCATACGACTAATTGTCACCTAAATCGTTTTCACCTAAGTATAAATAAACTAAATAAATATTATGAAAAGACGCCTTATGTCTTTGCTGAATTGAACAAATTTATTTCAAGAAGATGCGTCCACTAATCAAAGGGAATATGAAGACATATTTGCCTATATTGCTCCGCTATTAAATACTTGTTTCTCTATGCACCAAAAATTATGGCTGGTCGACATGCATATTAAGCACAAATGATTAATTTAAAGAACATAAAGAAAGTAGTTGTTCATCAGCGCGTTTATATGCAATGCATCAAGTTAATTACACTAACTAACCGGTAAGTTTTATATTTAACTTACCTGGTCAAGCTAGCAGTGAGCCAAGACATGGATTAATTCAAATGTATGACAAACACATCAGGGCTGAACAATGATTAACCGTATACGCACTGCATACTTTAGGTGCAGATAAGCTGGCAAGATGGATGTGAACGATATGCCATTCTAATCATCGTTCAGTGATTTTAACTCCCAGATCCCTGTATCAACAGTACAGTACAGCTTACAGATCAGTAGGGTCGCTATACTCCGACTAAAAGTATGAAAATTAGTGGATGTCCCGGAAATGCGATGGTTTTCTATAACTAGAAATATGGTTTCAAGCAGCGCTAGCGTGTTGGGCAATTGGGTGCTGCATTTCAGTGATTGCCGGCATTCATATGTGACAGGCGGTCCCTAGATGATGGGGCACAGTGCGGTTGGACCCTGGAAGAATCCACCGTGAACAACATTGCAGCTGTCCAAGCAATGCTGGAGGAGGGTGCACAGTTGTCCGTTGTACAGCTATGGAAAGGCACTGAGATCTCATGGGGATCAATTTGCACCATCCTGCATAAGAACCTCGACATCCGACAGGATTTTGCAAGCTGTGTTTACCATCAGCTCAGTGAGGATGAGAAAGCAGCTTGGGTAAGTTGGTGTCGCACCATGCTTGCCGGGTTTAATGGTGGATGTCAAAAACTATTAGAACAAATGTCAAAGCAAATTGCAGGACGTTGTAAGATTCATCACCGTAAGGTACAATATGCAATTTGTCGAATATTTTCCCTAGACAGAAGTTATAGTTAGATTAACAGAAAGACAAAATTTTACCAAAACCATTTTGTGATTGCATAAAAGCGCACATTTGAACGGGTGCACGATTCAGATGGGCGAATGTAGGACTGGATCAAGCCTTACCTTTGTCATTTATGACCCCCAGCTAAGGCATTTACGTCTTTTCGTGATTAACAATCACTGCTAACTACGCACACTGCACTAAAGACTGAGGGCTTAATAAAAATTGCACATGAGGAACGCAATCATTAATTTAACTGGAACTATATCTTCAGTGCAATATCCTTGTAGGATAAATGCCAATTATTACTTCCATGATAAATCTGTCTCAGTTGTTAGTAAGTTGATGAAATGTGGCGGCTCTCGGTGTTCATTTGAGAGTGCTTAAGGTGGATGGCTCGAGGGTACCGGTAACAAGGTACGTGCAAATTTAACTCCCACTTGGCGTCCTTTGGGACTAGTGCATTCCTTTTAACAAGCTGCTTTTTTTGAACTCGTTAAGATGGCTCGGTCACCTCCTGCGTATTTCTGCTGACAGTTTACCACATCGCCCACTGTTTGCTCACGCAACACTCAAGTAGAGGAGAAAAGTGATGGTTAACAATCCGCCTGTCAAAAACACCTGAAATCATAGACTTGGATTCTTGCAAAATTATTCTGTTTTATATCCGCAGTTTAGCTAGAGTGTGCCATGGCGGAGATGATGCGGCGATTCTCTATCATCTGCTGATTTCGATCGTTTTGTTGTGTCGATTTCAATCAGTTACACCGTTTTATAATTCGCATATACTATATAACTGACGTGTCTCCTGAGTTACTGTATTCCAGAAAGCCAAGCTCATGTATAAAATGCGAGCAAACACCAACACACTGACGCTCTCCGAATTTCACAGTAAAATCACGTTGATGGATGACAGTTGTTCATGTATGGTTTTAATTTAATTTAAGCACATAGGGACTCACAGTAGTACAATTTAAGTCTTGGTCAAGTGCTGTCGTGTTGAGATGAATTTCCACAGGGTATCTGGTCACTATAATTGTATGGTAAAGCACAATTGTTTGAAGTAATCCAAACGGCAGACGAAGTATAATGGAATTACATAGATTTCACTGACGATCAAAGGATGAATTACATATCATGAAATAAGAGTCAAAATTAATTTATGTGAAACGTGTGCCCCAAGCTTTACATAATGGAAATCTTGCAATAAGTTTCATTAGCTCGAGATGCATCTGAGCGAAAGCTAAGTTAATACACAAAGTGAACCGAAAATATTCCTCTTATTTTCAGATGCGATATGCACTTCATTCGCATGTTCTATCCGTAATTGTTCACAGAAAATACTAGGCGAATAACCACAGAACTAAACCATCTTGCTTATTAATGTGCGTAAGTTTTTTATTACCACAAGATTACTAATAAGTCAATTCTTTACTTTTTCAATTCTAGTGAAAGCACTAGCAGCTAACGTTTGGCTATCAATTCGTTCGGTTATCGTGAGTTAATCTGGCGTAGACGGTGGCTCTGGTGCTTAGACACAAAATCTTAACTTAAAAATGGAACACTTCTCCTAGACACTGTCTATACTATCTTACCAAATCCGTCCAAAACTTTATCCCAGTTTGGTCCCGTCACAGTTACACAGCCATGTCCATCCGAATTCAATCTACGGTTTATGATTGCGAATTTGTCGACACGGTTTGCATTTTTCGCAAAATTTTTGATCTTCGTCGTGTTTACTGTAACCATGTACTGTGTGATGAAGCCACCTTCTTCTATTTCGATGGGTAATCCAGCAAGACAATTTCGAAAAGCTCCGTTGTTCCATAGTGCCGGTGACCGTGTAATCAGCTAACATAAAAAGAATAAAGGAACGGTTTGCTTCTTAAAGCATTTACCAGCACAGATTTGACCAACTACACGGTTAACAGACCTACCAGATCACATTTTGTCCTTGCATATTCGTCTATCCTTGACGAGAAAAGACGCACATCCGCAACTATGGAATTGAGTCAACAAAACAAAAGTCAAATATGAGTGTGGTTTAAAAACATTTTGTTTGTTTTCACTATTCATACTTGGTACGGCAACATATAGAAAGCTGTAAATCCAGATGTTTAAATGAGTGTGAAATTAAAAGTTTATTCCTCCATGTTCGTCTTCACTCAGAGGAGGGTTGGGGCTTGCGCCTTTCAGATACACTTATGATTTCTTCACAGCCTTATGCACGTCAACCATCCACAATGCACTCAAGTGGTCATGACTTCATTCTGGATAATCCAGTGTCTTTAAATTCCCATGGAATCAGATATCGGCAATGCAAATTGCCAACCCATATGAGGATAGAGGCAAGATGCGAAGACATGTACGCTGTCTTCATTGAGCAAACAAACAAATTAGCCGTTCGCAAGTAAGATATATAAGTTGCGCACTCTTATGAGACCAGCAGTCAGCTACTTGGTCAAGACTTTAATGCAAGCGATATTAGTGGGTAGACAACGTATACAGCAAATAGCTACGTAACTTAAACTAGCAGTTCCCCTTAAAATAACGGATTTAAGTGAAGAAATAAATCTACGGATGCATGACCTTTTGCAAATTTTTGCTTGCATCTACCTGTAGCGTATATATTACCAACTGTGTCTGTTTGGGATGACCATTGGTTTCACAAAAACTTAATTGCCAAGCGTTGTAACATGTATGCACGCATGTCAAGTAAGCTCGAACCTTAGCTTAATCCGTCCATTTTAGCTCTTATGTTCTCAAAGTGTTGCAATGTTCAAAATTTATTTGCGCTAACTTATTAGGGAATCAGCTTTCCTTAACCGTTGTCAATTTCCTATCACGTAATGAATAGTGGTAAGTCTGACAGATCCGTAGTATAAAAGTGAGTCAATACAATATTATGGAAACAATGGTGTGGTTTAACTTAGTTAATACTTGTATTTTTTTCGAAAGCTTGCAACACAATTAACATTAATTCTAGGTGCAAACATTCCGCTCTCAGCTCACACTGAGTCATGGAAGCAGGACATTTATGGTTGCCTTTACTTGACAAATGAAGAAATTGCCATTAGAATATCTAACAAGTTTTGACTAAAGGGTGCTTTGTTATATAACCCGTGGGTAAGCGAGACAACACTGACATTGTAAAGAGAACAAAAGCCTGAAAATTTAACTGAAATCGTGACCAGGCTGTATATGACGAAAGTTTTTTGGCCGTCGAATGGGAAAGTTTTCAAAATGAAATGGCGAACACACACTAAATGATAGAGCCTTAGGAAAGGAGGTAACAATGTACATTTCTCGTGTTGCTTCAATAATATAAATCAAATTGTCAATACAGCTTTTTACATAAAAGTTATTTAGTGCATTATGTGCTCACTGGTTACCAGCTATTTCAAAACATCGGATGGGCACATTTCTAAATAAAACAACTTACAAAGTTCTTCACAGTAAACAAAGGAGTGCGTTAGGCCAAATGCCAGTAGTGTAGCGAACATTGAATACGTATTGGCTTGTTCAGTTTAATCGTTTTACGGTGCAAGCATTCGTAAACGGCTTTATTTGGTTTGTGAATCCCGTTTTGAATGGCCAAATATCATTTGTCAATGGCTGACCATTCGTAGCCATGATCATTTCACTTCCATGTGACCGTGACATTGCCATTGATCATAAATGTAGTTTTCAGTGTTCGAATTATCTATTCTCTTATGCCATTACCGCTCACGTGTTACTGATTAAGTCTCAGACCGAACCGAATCCAATGACCTGAACTGCAAACCTAGACTATGGTGAGCACTGGCTCAGTGTTAATAATGCAAATCAAACGGATATCCTAGTGACCAGACCATTAAAAGTGTGCTTACTTGGAGTAACCCCACGCGAAGCAAGCGACTACCGGAGTAACGGATCACTGTGTATGACCAGTTGTTTTACACTCTAGAACATAAAATGTGTAAATTAGGCAAAATTAGCTAACGTGTGTTTCGACTACAACGAGAATGGAGCACAATTCTGTGTTCATGTGCATAGGCGCATATTGCAAATTATGTAGCTGGTTTTAACCTTCTCCAACGTTTGTTGGTGGGGGCAGAACCGACAAAAATAGTGTAACACAGTGTGTTGTGAGGTTCAGTGAAACTAATCAGTACTGATTAATCTGGCCTACGTAAACACAATTTAGTTATTTTTGTCACACAGTCGAACACGTTTATTTAACCTCCGCTTTTGCCTCAATTCCACTCAAAAAATGAAGATTGAAGTTAATATTCTTTCATCAAAATGGGACTCAAATTGTCTTTCGTATGCATTCATTCAAACCTATGAATCCCGAAGGGGGTGCTGATTGTCAGTTCCTTGTTGTTTATCGCCGCCGAAATAAATGTAAGTAATGTGGGATACATGGGCACCCACCGAAAAAATCCCGGAGGACTTGCGATCCCTTTATGATAGAAAGCTTATGTAAGCCATCAACCGATAACCATTGTCGCAGCAGACTGCGGTTTCATTATCGACCGCCATGTCATTTGTGAGTTATCTAATAAGCATTTCCCCTAGTCATTTAATCCAGGCGCAATTGTTGCACATGATAGACTGCACAGACTCACCAGTGAAACAACAGATACATTTGATTAAAACCCGCATAACGTTAGAACACAAATAACCGCCCCAAAGCACACATTTTACCCTGAAACGGCCAGTATACCACCAGCATTGCATAAATTCGCCGGGCACGATATCCATCTCCTCCCGCTAAACATTATCACCTTGTCATTTCATTATGGTGTATACTCTGCTAATGCCCCATCCTGAGACTGATGACACATTCATGATGCTTCTTCACCGCAGTTGGGCTAAACCAAGTTACACATAAACTAGGTCTTTTTAATATGGATAAAATACATTACATTTTGTTTGATTGGTTTTGCGTACTTGATAATATTCTCCCAAATTACCTACGTCGCTCATGCAAATTGTGGTAAACTTGCGCAATTTTATCGCATGGTATTTTTCAAATAACTTTCGGACATTTGGTACGTATCGCGTATTCACATTTAACCACTTTCTTTCATATAATCATTTAGCGAGTATTTATGTCGCCATATGCGTTTACTTTATTCATAACCGGCATTTCGAATGATTGGCTGTTGTTTGGCATCCCAGATGTGGCTGCGCTTGATGTGCATGTTGACAAGGTGCCTACGTGTGTATTACCCACTACCTCGTTCATACTGGCTCCAGAAGACAGTTGGTCTTTGCTGGATGGGACGGGTGAACGGTCATTGTGGCCGTGCAAGGCTCAAAGAGCGGTTCCATGCACTCAGTGTGGAGCGGACTACGGTCCAGCCACCGCCTTGTGTGCGCTTGATTCCCCAATTAGAGCGTGATTGTGTTTGTCTGTGAAGGAGTGTGGGTGGGCTCCGTTGATGAAACCTGGCTCCCATCCACATGCCTCCCGGTGTTATTCCTTCGGGTCTACACTGGATATGGGGTGCGTGGTTGGTGCAGCGCAAGCCACCTGTGGTCCCTCTGTATGCGCAGGTGTCTTGTGGCTGGCCACAGTGACAGGCAAATCCGCAACCGGATGCCGCCAACCATACTCTGCTAAACAGAAGCGGGCCCCCGTCATACCTGGACAAGAATGGGAATCATGGCAAGAAGTAGTAAATCACAGCCCTATTAGCCATAGTTCCATATTTACTTATATTCTGGAAAGAATATTCAAAGAAAAATTTATGTATTATTTCCATTTAAAAGGTTGGATAGATAAATCACTACACGAATTCCTCAGACGTCGTTCATGCGAAACTTGCCAATGTGAATTTTTGGACTACGTAACCAAGTCGGCTGACTCCGGGCAGATGATAGTTATTTTTTTCCCATAAATGGAAAAAGCATTCAGCCGGATAACCCCATGCTGGACATTTGACAATGTTCGCATCTTATGGGTTTTCTAACCCATTACTAGCATTGCTATCATCATTCATGTCTACACGCACCCAATGTGTCATTGTCGGAACCTGCATTTCTGCACCTATTCCAGTAACAAGGGGCGTCAAATAAGGAACGGTGTTAGCCCACTGCTATTTCTGCTTTACATAAGCGATATTTTCCGGATCACTGGCTATGACATACCATTTATTTGTACAAATGGTATCAATATCATTTTCGCGTTTGATAGTACAAATGATTCAGATTTCGCTCAAACAATACACACGAGGCTCTGCTTCCTTCAGCGGTGATGCAAGAGTGTAAAACAACATCATATATTGGCAAATGCAAAGTTCCATTTAACGGATCCGACATTATTAACGACATATTGACGTTGGATGGCAATCACAACGGTTCGTGCGCTATTTGTTAAGTACTCAAAATCTACCAATCTTTTGGAACAGATGAATGATGTCATGGCTAAAGCACCTATTTGCAATAGATTATACATGAATGGTTTAAGCTAGCTATGTCTAAAGCATATAAACGATGTGGATTAGAATATTTTTTGTTAGCATTAACCAATTAAAAAATATGTGCGAAAATCCCTTTTGAATTCCTACAATGATCGGTTACCACACGCTTATTAAAATTAGGTTAATTGACATACACTCGACGGCACAAGCTGCGAAATCTAGGGTTATTATGCTTGAGAAAAATCAATAACAACCTAATCTTCCTGTTTGATTTAATTTATATTAGTCCTTGGAACTAGATACTCTAGATTTTGGCAATTTCCATTCATTGCCAATTAGAAATAGATCAAGAAACTTCTACATCCCTGAGTAAATACAGTATATGTTCCAAATTCTTTCTCTTAAGATATACAACGTTACGGAAATAGTTGCGCGAACCCATTAGTTGCAACAGTCTTAGCGCGTATTTTGTGCTCAAGTCTTCAAACACCTTGCTATGAAGGAGGCACTACTTATAATAGGCTAATCTGAATCAATAGACGATATTTATGAAAAAGTCACTATGGAACTTTAAGTGGTGAGCTTCACACATGCCGTATTTTACATATATTTTGTTGGGCTAATTCTCACCCCGTACATTGATATTGTAACCTTGTTTATAATTCCAGTTTCAATTGTTTACATCTTCAATCTTCAATTTGTCCCTTCTGGGCTACCTGTTTGCCTAAGGTTAGCAGGATTTGGCCCAGTTAGTTTCACCGACACTCCTAACTATCCTGCCCTAGTTTCTGCTCAATGAATTTCCTTAATCCGCATACTTTCATCCCACCTTTCCTTGACAGTTAACAGCCCAACTCGATATGCTGAAATAAAACCCCGGATAGTTGGTTAACTATTCTTCCCTTGGAAACACAAATTTGAGCCAGGTTTCTGTCACTTCACTCCAGCTATTATACCGTATCCGACATGTACGCTCACCATACAGCAATGACAACATCGGCAGATGGGTACAATGTGAAGCCGTATTCTTTCTCAGACATTATATTCGTCTTGTTATTCACTAGTTCATTACCAATTAAACAGGACTGCAAGTTAACCGTGTGTCAGAGTGGTCCCTTTCAGGAAGCATATACGGACATTCATGAATTTTGACCACTACTGCACCTTACATTGGCCACCTCAATGATTTTATTATTTGCCTGGCCCTATTCCCCACCATTTGTAAATTTTTTTAACGTGCGGACAGTAAGGTGTGGACGTCTTGATCCTATTTTTTCCACAAACCTATTCTTCCTTTATACCAATATTCGTAGTTTCTCCTGACTTAAAAATAGCATAGATCGAAATGAATACGGATGTGATGGTATACGTGACAAGCAAGCCATAATGAACGCCATAATACTCTGGCGTATTGCTACCTTAACCATCTCCCCTACATCTCACGATCGCAGATAAAAACAATTCCAAGCAATACTAAGATCTACCGATATATGCATAATTATTTGAATGATACAGCGGCCAATTTAGTGATGCTAATTAATAATTCATCATTATGGAGGCTAACCCATGATCAGTAGCCTTCCAGTTTGAACCGCTGCCCTGATCTTCAAACTTATTTGCACATCAGTTACAATACGCGTTTGCGTAGTAGCTATGGACTTGCTTCATAGCAGAAGATAAATCTAATTTTGACATGATATTAATCCTTGCATCTTCTTTCTTGAGATTCCTGACGTATGAGCTCATTTGAGTCTCTGAAATCCTAGGCCTCCTGGGTTCGCTTTGTTTCTAGTTGTCGTTAATGTTGAGTTTGCGCTATAGGATATTGTATATCATGATTAACGATTTAGAATTATCCTTTGCCATCATTTAGATTGCTTTTCATAGTACCTATTCGGTATGAGCTGACAAGTCGAGCTTGGTGAAAGAATGCATATTTCGATCTCAAATACTTAGCTCTAGAGTGTGTTGCCATTAGTTTGTTCATGTCCATTCCGGAATATTTTGCATACAGAGTAACGCTTTTGACGCGGCTTCGTATTGCTAGATGTACCAGTTTAACTACTACGGAAATACTACAACACCTTCCCAATCGTATGTATTCTTTGTAAAGTGTTGTCTATGATTTTAAAGTTTTCCTTGCTAGACACACTATTTGAACTGGTAAACATGT